AGAATATTGTAATGAGTTAAAATGAAAACATCATCGATATAGTCTTTTATGTTTTTAAGACAACATAGTTATTATTATTGATAGTTATATATAATAAGCAACCGATGTTTGTATATCAAATGTATTGTATTTAATTTTAACTTGCTTTTACTTAAAGCTCATATTATTACTATTATTAAAAAATATATTTAAATTTAAGAATAAGAATCTTTTTAAATGGATATAATATTGCTTTGGCGTATTGGATTTCTAAAAGTTTATACATTTAAATCAGCCATCATTTTTCTAAAGTCTGCAAGCGTATTGTAATCTGGATCTGCATCAATATCCGCAAAATCCTGATTGGAATCAGATTTTACAAATGTTGGATTGTACCGGCTCAAAGACAAAGTACAAGGTAGTAATTCTGGCATTACTGAATGATGTGTTATTAATGCGGTTAACGTTGTGAATTCCTTCGTAAAACCCTGTTAAAATATTTCAATTTAGTCAAAATCAATTTTTCTTTRCAATAAAATTTGTATAAACTAAACCTTTATTTTAAACCCTTTATTTGTTCTGAGTATTAGATAGTGAGCGATTCCTAGAGGATGAAATTCTTGAGGTACTCTTAGTGACAACGCAAAACAACCTGGTTTGGTGGTACTTTCACGAACCATAAAAGCTCCCACTGGTTCTTGTCCCAAGACTTCCAAAGTTATTTCTCTAAAGTAAATTTACATGAATAAGATACCTAAATATACTTATTTAAAATTTATAATAAGTAATTTTAATCACTTAATACCTTGGAATTCCGGCTTGAAACCATGGGGCTTTTTTTAATTCACACTCTTCTGGTTTATCCAGAAGACTATCTGATCGTTCTGGCAAAGGCGGAGGAGTTGGAGTTTTGTCCATTCCATTTGAAATCAAATTATTTTTAAGTTTGATATTTGTAGGTGAATCTGGTGATCGTACACTACACTGAGTTAATCTATTAAATTAATAACGAGTTTAATAAAGGTGAATATATGTAAAATAGTCATAAGTCATTACCTATTGTCTTTTAATTTGTCCTGGGAAGATTCAGGCGTACTGMAATCATCACTATTTGTAGAYGGTGAGCTTGATACAGAAGAGCTACAAACTAGTGGATACCAGTCTTCGTTAGAGCAGTTGTTGTGTACGGATAGGCCCATGGCTAAACGTTTAATTAATGGAGGTTTTTCCAACATACGCTTGTATGTATTTAAATCGGGACTGTCGTCACTACTAGTTGGAGTAGAAAATTGTCCTGGCGTGAGATCTAAGTCTTTGCTATGGTCAAAAGGACGTACGCCTGGTAGGGTGGTAGGTGGAGTTGGTTTAGGAGTTTCAGWAAGCTTCTTCGACAACGGAGAGCCATTATTGATTCGTTGTACATTTAATTTATCATTTAATTTCATCTGTAAAATATTTGCAATAAAATGTTTTTATGTATGTATGCTTAATGTTTTTATTTGAATTTTGAATTTACCCAAGAAGTATTATTCARATTGGTTTTTGGAGAGTTCGTCACCGATCGTCTTTCCAGCTCCAGTTGGGCAGCATACGCCATTCTAAACGCATTTCCCACAATAGAATTTAATCCCTCAGCCTGAAAAAAATAGGTTATAGTTATTTAAAATTCTTAKTACTCAAATATGCTGAATAATATGTATAACCTAGGTATTAACGTAAACTACGTATTTTGGTAATTGYTAATTTGTACTATATATAGACACCTTATATCCCAAGGACTGCTAAAAAATGTCATTCACGCGGTCTATGTATAATGTGTTAATATTTAATGCATTGACAGATGTCACAAGATATTATAAGTTTATAACTGATAAGTTTTGAGGCTAGGTTAACCAAGGCTGACTTAAAATTAATTATTATCAATTAAATTAACTTTTACCACAGATTTAGGGATCTCTCGATTTAATATATCTTAATTTATTGGAAGTATWAGTCAAATGTATACATGATTACGGTTCGTATAAAAGAAAATCTTTAGTGACTATATATTTCTAATCCCTAAAGTCGATTCACGGATTGCTTTTAGTATAACAGGTGACACCCAAAAGATCGATGMTCTTTAATTGATTTTWACATTAGTTACCGTCTAACAAAGTATTTTTTTGTAACGGAATTTATAAAAGTATGTCAAGTCATCTTGAACCTAATCACTGTGTGTGGTCTACGTGAAACTATAACCACGCTATCAAGTACCTATTAATAAAATAATAATGTATTGTATTAAATATTATACATATTATACATTATGGAATAAGTAACTATATATTGTATATATACTAATATACACAACTTCTGAATTCACTGTTCAACAACTTTAACTATTTTTCAGTAAGATGCATGAATTAAAAAACGTATATCGTAGTAGTGCTTCTAAGTTCAAGAAGGTGGAAAAGAATACAAGTATTCAAAATTGGTTGAAACTGGTTTGYTAGTCTTAGAGTATTCCATTTGAAAAAAATGCGTCTTTCGCTAACGAATAATTGTTTATTTGCAGGGATGTCTGGATTCTTTGAAATCCTGGGAATGGCATATTTTGTTTAAAATCATTAAATCAAAATTTAAATAAAAAATAAAATCACGACTTTTGGTAAATTATGAATACCGATTATTTCAGAGTATTAGTTTGATTAAATATTTGAATAAGTGTAACTATGCATGATGGAACAACTTGCGATCTAACGAATTACGAGAATATCACGAATTGAGCTTATTATTTCTACGTTGAATCTAATATTGTTTTATAATCTTTACATGTATGAGATTCTACGACACAAGAAAGAAATTCAATCTGTATTATAGTACTAAATGGCTTTCTGTAGGTACTTCTAAGGGTTCTCTATAGTCTTCTATAGTACTCGAGGCTTTGTATAACGGCTAAGCCGATTTATATACGAGCAATATTTTGATATCGGATCATTTAAAATCTTTATGATTGAACGAGTAATCTCTTTTTAACGTATATTCCAGCCATATAGAACTTAAAAATATAAGGAGAACTTTTTGGTATAAAATATGTAWTTTTTTCTGAATATTTACTATTATAGGATTGAAACTATTTGATTGATAGACAATAACTATTAWAAAAGTTTATTTTTATGTAAAGTAGGAATTAGTATTTTTTTCATATAAATCGAATAATTAAATGATTGGACCTCAATGAAATAAAAAAAAAACTGAATCAGTTGATATTAAAATACTACAATATAYTATTATATCATATTTTTAAATTTCTATCTTAGATACACATTAAAAAAAAAATGTTTGCAGGTTTCTTTATTATCACTGCAATAACAATACACACACCCACACATATATATTGTTTACAGATAATTTTTCATAAATATTTTTGACAATTGTCAAACTTAAGTTTCAGTGTATAATTTAGTGGTTATAGTAAAATAGTATAAAAAACACATAATTTTCATATCCTATACGAAATAATAAGCGAGTTGATCTGATGAAGAACCGTTGCTCTACCTACCCCGCCACACTGAAACTAGTTTAGTTTTAAATGTCAAGGAGAAAAATATATAAAATATCGATGGAGATATTTTTAAATTCTCGAGACAAACGACAAAAAACTAAAGCAAATGTTATATTAATGTGTAGGCGCAGTAGTGGTGTGGAGAGAATGAGATGACTAATGCAGCGTTTTGATGTCATTACTGCGTGATGATGGTGCGGCCACCGCAAAATATAAGCGCGCGCATATTATTAGTTATAACTAAATGGGTACTATAAATATTATAAGTATAACGCGACCAAAAACTCGTCGTCGTCAATAATAATAATAATTTTCAATTTTATTTCGGGGGGATACGGAYGACAACGCGTCCACTCCATTTTGCGCAAACAGCACGCACACCAACTCTTTCCCAGTCAGATAAATATTTGCATATTAAAATAATATGTCGTGGGAGGGACAACGGCGCGCGCGGACCACGTACAATCGCGGTGACTGCGGCGGMGGACCGTAAGCGCCGATTGCACACGCATTCCCCTCCACCCCTGCACCTCCGACAAAACTACTTTGCCGCCACCGTCGGTCCACGTTTACATGATTTTTTTTCTCCGCTTCCCCTCCCCTCCACGATTCCGGGAACGTAATCCTCTTTTCCCACTGSTTCTTCGACTACTATTACTATTACTACTACTTCTTCTTCTTGTTTTTCAACAGTTCTACTTCACTGTCCGACGGCGATGACGACGACGACCACGACAAGGACCGCGACGATAGCGTACGAACGCATAGCGACGGRTTGGTAGGGTGGTAGAGTGGGCACCGCGCGCGAGACTGCATTCCGTACATATTTCGACGAGAATGTGCTCTGCGGGCGGTGGAGGTGGTGGTGGTGGCGGCGGMGAACCGACACCGCGCTACCGGGCATCATTGCCGTCCAAGCAGGCGATGTACACCTATCATACTTATGTGTATAGTGGTTAATGGTTATTGGTTGTTGGTTATATCATTAGAAGGGCAGGCGAAACCGTTGCACTGAAAAAATGCATTTTATTATTGATTGCGCTGRAAACGAAATCTGCACGCGTGATGACATTTTTTCACCGCACACCCCGCCTAAAATTTTACTAATGTACACACATCTAGTACTTTTATCATTCTGTTGTGACGGCTAGCTGAGTAGGTAAACGGTAATAATATGGTTAAACAACGTTTGACAAAATTGGAATAACTATAATACCTAACTGGCAACGAAACATTACCTTATGTGGGTACATAAAACAATAGCAAAAACATACAAAATATATAATAAGAATATGATACGCTTGTACACTTTTAATCGAAGAAATGTACGATGGAAAAAATTGTTTTTAAATGAAATTGCATTTCTCCGAAATGGTAGTAAAAAAATTACGAACTAGACAATAAATACGAGTGATAAGGGAAAAAAGTCGCAAATGTAATAACAAAGACAGATCGTGCTGAATAAACATCTATTGTGCACTTTACATCACGACTGCATAATACTRCAGTGTTAGACTTATAGCTGTTAGGTGTTTGCTTTTTCTTCTTTAATKTTTCGCTTTTGTTTTCGTGAACACGTTTGTAGTTGGCCGCAYCACCGCCGGAATGAGATTATTACAGTAAAATCATTGGACGTCGCGTCGTCGAGACGATTACAGTTTGTGTGTGTGTTGTGTGTATGTGTGTACGCGGGCATTGTACCTACACACCATTATTATAATATCATTATTATACCGACACAAACATAAATAATACACAACACACACCTATTCGCGTAATGTAGTCCATTTGCTACTGTTCTCTTCGCCACATACCCCGCCATCACAGTCTTGTGGCGGCTGCAATTTTTTTAGCCGCCGCTTACTCATTACACTATTATATTATTATGATTAGTATAAGTATAACTTATATTATCATTTATCATTGATTATAAAAACTAGTATTTATAAATTATAATCATGGTATTATGTACTTATTATACATGAATAATTTGGTTCCAGGTCCCCATCGTTAGGATTTCCAGCTGAGTCCTTTTAAGAAGGAAAATTGGGTTATAAGGTTATAACTTATAAGCTTATGTCACACACGCACATGTTTACCGCTACCAAATATTACGTCTTATGTGTATAATATTGTATCTGCATTCTTATAGACTATTAATTATTGTGAATTAGCACTTTCACGGCATACAGACCGAGCAGATATATTTTTTTTTATTGCCCACGCAAATTATCAGATAGGTACACCAACTATTTAATAATAACGGAAGTTATAAATTCTCATGCACATGAGGTTATACTAGAACACGACTATGTAATGGTACCACAACCACAGATATATAAAACAATATTATATGTTACATATATATGTAATTAAATTTATTATATTTTATGTTAATTATAATACGTTTATCATCGTAATAGTGTATTTGAACGAGTCACAAAATAGTCACTATGTATTATTCCTGAAGYGATTTTATATTCGTTTAGAGTAACAATTTATGCGCATTTTGTACTTTAAAAACACATACAATAAATATTCTTACTTATTCTATAATTTTTTTTTTTTTTTTTCATTTTTACAATGTTTTATTCAATATGTTTCAAAAAAGAACATTAAGAATAACTGAGGTAATAGATAGTAACAAAAATAAAAATAAACTTACTATATGAATATTATGTGGAAAACA